GGTTGTGTGTGTGTGTGTGTGTGTGTGTGTGTGTGTGTGTCTGTGTGTGTGTGTGAGATCAGGCCGAGATGAGCGAGCCGCTCAACATGAAGGGCTTTGTTGTGGAGGAGCAGGCCGGCGGGACGCTGCATGACGCCATCCTCGTGGAGCGGGTGAGAGACGCATCATTTACCACATTACTTTCATTCAATTGTACTTAACATTCCAGAAAATTCAGATTTTTCACATGCTTGTTATTGTTATTGTTGTGTTATTTATTTATTTAACAATTTTCAAAAATCATGTTTTTTCATTGTGCATTCCAATTGATCAAACTACAGTTAAGTTATTTTGATTAAGTAAAAATAACAAAAAAATACAGCTAACTAACACAATAAAAACATGATTAGGGATGCACGGCCGATAATGGCTTTAAATATAAATATCGGCATCGGCCCGATATGAAAAATTATGCCAATATGTCTTGCCGATCAGAGGGATACATTAACTCGCATGTGCTCAGGGTGTGCTAGTGATTAGATCAGGTCAGCAGTGTGGCTCATTCTTGAAGCAAGGTATGTCTGAATGCTAATTCGATTCACTGCTTTGGATGCTGCATTTAATCTGTGAAAGCGCTACAGAATGACAGGTATGGTGTGTGTTAGAGTAAACCGTAATAGCACCTGCAGCGGCAGCCTGCCCCGGGTCCTAATGCCGCTCAGTAACGAGTTTTAATCTGTAGGGGGCGCTGTTGGCCTACTTCTATTAAAATGAAAGTAAAATACCCAAATAACATTTAGACTGTTTCTGATTAAATAAAGCAGTAACTGATGTCATAAAATCATGAGTATGTTTTTATTTAAAGGTCAGAAGCTATAGCTTACATGAAAAAAAAAATCACAAACATGACACTTAAATAAAATAATTGTATATATACTCATTTATTCATTAATGTGTAATATGTTATATTTTGTAAACAAATTATGAGCTCTAAAAGATTTACAGAATTTAAAATTTTTTTTGCTTTAGACCATCTACAAAATGTTAAATCTTAAAATGAAATGTTAAGGTTACCACTGCATCTTTCTGGGAAAAAAAAAAGAGTGATTAATATATAGTTTATTTAACATTATTTTCAAAGCTTCACTGTACTGTCATTATAAAAGAAATTCGTTACTGTTTATTTAATTCTAACAAATAAGTTCTTGTTAAAAACTAACCAAAATTAAAAAATATTTTGCTTATAATTTCCGCACAGGAGAGACTCGGTGTTGTTTCCAAACAAAAGGAAATATATTGGTATCGGCCGAAATGAGTTGGAAAATATCGGCATATCGGCAAAAATCCAATATCGTGCATCCCTAAACATGATTTTTGAAAATATATATATATATATATATATATGTGTGTGTGTGTGTATATACAGTATATATAGTGAGAGAGAGAGGGATGTTTTTTTGTTGATTTGTGTTTAATGTTGTGTTTAATCACTGGGCAAATTCCAAATGGAAGTGATCATCCCTATGCCCTACTCCCTTTAAAGGGTTGCATGAAAGCCCTTATGCTAAGAAATCCCTTAGTTATAAGGTTAAGGGAGCCCTTAGTGTAACTTGGGTTGCAAGAAAAAAAAACATTAAGTATTCCCCTTAATTATTTAAGTGTTCCCTTAAGTGTTGCTACAAAGTCCTTAGTAACCATTTCACCTTAATAAATTTAAGGGACCAAAAGAGCTCCCTTAAGTCATCTTAAACTCAGTATCTGCAGGATTTTTAAACTCAAATGTAAGACTTAAGACATTTTTTAAGACCTGCACAAATAAAATATTATATGAGCGCAGTAGGGCAATGACTATGGTAAAATATTAAACTGTAAAATGACTGTAAAAAGCATGACTTACAGGTTTTCAAATGACTGTAAAAAGCATGACTTATAGGTTTTCACAAAACAAAAAGTTTTATATACATTTTTAAGTAAATGGATGAGTTGTATCAATTATGATATCAATTTAAACAATTATTATTAATCAATTATTACATTAATTAAATAACAATATAAATATAATTTGTCTTAATTGTTTAGATTTTTATAATGCGGTTATCTTGACTTGTCGATCCACCTGTTCACATTTACAACTCTGCGTGTTTGCAGCGTCAAAACATGGGTTAATTTTCACATTTGGTAAATTTTCCATCATTGGTCAGCAGGAGGCGCTTTCACAGCAGAAACAAAGCGGTTTCCTCGGTAACGACTGTACACAAAGCAGCTGTTTATTTAATATTTGTCTGTTTTAGTTGGTTAGGTTTGTATTTCATTATGTTCTGTTTATTGTCATAGATATGTATACATATCTGTTTATTGTGAGATTTAGTAACTACAGTAACCGCGGCACCCATTGCCGTATGTTGCCAGAAACTGCCGTGAAACGCTTCGTATAAACACTTAGGTAAGGGTGACAGTTAAGACGTTTGTTGCAACGCTCCTAAAGAAATCCCTTACCTCAGGGATTTTCCCCCCTCAGGGATACCCCCAAGTCAAATTACTTAAGGACTTTCATGCAACTGGGCCCAGAGCCCTTGGACTGGGGACTTTGGAGTAGAGGTCTACACGGGTCCAAAAATTGGTACCCGAACCCGAAGAGACCCGTAAATGTGCTACACTGAACCGACCCGGACCTGTCTATTATTTTGAAAGTTGGCTTGTTCCTGACTGTGATGCACACAATCCTCCTTGCCAAGAAAGTTCCATCCGTGTTATTCCTCTCTTGCCAATTGAAATGCGTAATCCACTCATTATTCCAGTTTCAAAAGTCCACTTGCTGTCACGGTGACGGATGACAAATGCGACTTTGCAGTTTTGCATTTTTTGTATCTCGCGTCAACTTGCATTATAATTTAGACTGTTTGCCCGTTTGGATTATAATAACGATTGCTCGTCCAGTGCCATGGCTGCTGACGTTAGCTTTACTTATTTGCTATCATCTCTGTGCTCTCACATCACTCATGAAGGTATCCATTATAACCGTGCGTGGGCATTACC